AGTTTCTCTTTCTTTTTTCTTGGGTGGGCCACTTTTCTTTACACTGGTCGTCTCTTTTCCATCTAATTTATCGTTTTAATAGCGTTTTCAATCATTTCACCAAGATAATAATGTCAACAAAGTTTTTTGTAGCATTTCTTATTAATCTTTCATAATAAGGGGCTAAAGAGTATTAACAAAAAGCATTGTTACCTCTTTCTTTGTGAGGGGTGGTTGGACTTAGAAAGCAACATCCCTCCATCTTCGGGCGTATTGTTTGAAACTTTTTGTGGCTTTGTTTTTCATGCTTTGTAAGGAAAGGCGATCAGGTGTTAAGTCCATTATGTGTCTATATTAGGCTATAAATGCTTTTGCCAAATCGTTTCAACAACGGACACGGACTTGGTCTAACTGCACATACCATTTAGTCACGGAGCTTGTAAGACTATCTTGAAATACATGCATTAATAGTTTCTCATCATGAGCATGGGTAGCCATTTTGCAACAATATATGGTAACGTGAGTTATCGGGCATTTACTCTCGTCGTATTTTTCAAATTGGAAGACTTTAAACTTTGGTGTATTATTTGAAACTTTTTGTGGCTTTCTTTTCCATGCTTTGTAAGGAAAAGCGATCAAGTGTTAAGTCCATTATGTGTCTATATTGGGCTATAAATGCTTTTGCCAAATCGTTTCAAGAACAGACACGGACTCGATCTAACTGCACATACCATTTAGTCGCGGAGCTAGTAAGACTATCTTGAAATACATGCATCAATAGTTTTTCATCATGAGCATCGACAGCCATTTTGCAGCAATATATGGTAACATGAGTTATCGAGCATTTACTCCTATCGTATTTTTCAAATTCGAAGACTTTAAACTTCGGTGGGATAACCACATCTGGGACTAAACATAGTTGGGCTGCATCCATAAAGTCGAAGTAATCTATACCTTCAATAGCTCAAACTTTTTCCTCTAAAATGTTCATCTTTTATTAGGAGCTTGAGTCCTCTACTACCTTAAAGGTTTTTGTTTTCAACCTCTCCTTCTCCTTGAGGTTTTCAAAATTGGGGACCTCAATTGGGTTTGATATCTTTGCCTCAAAGTCTAGGTTAGTGTAACTACGATATGGCATTTCGGGGTAGGTGTAAGCATATGCCCCAGAAAATGGCATGTATGGGGCCTATGTCTCCTTGAGAAGATTGACCTTGGTTTGGACCAAACCTATAAGGGTATAAAGGATCCACAATATCTTGTCTTTCATTTGGATTAGGGGTCTTTTCTACTATCTTACCCTTATCCAATTTTTTTAACATTTCTATCATCTTTATCAACTCTACTTTTATCTTTTCTTGAGCTTTCTCGATGTTGTCCATATGGGTACTTTGTTCCTATTCCATTTGCCTTTTTCATGATCGAGTATTATATGGGTGACACGCAGGTTAGCCTGAAGTTGTCGACGATCAAGCTATCTTTGAACCTTTAATACCATATCTAAGAATTAGCAAGCTTATATAACTATCTCATGAAAACCTAAGATGATTATTTTGTTAAATGCAATGAATGAAAATGCATGCATGCATGCAAAAAAGAAAAAAAAAAACATTTACCTTAAGATAGTGTTTAACCAAAAGATTTCATTTATTCTAAGAACTCTATTTACATAAAATTTATCATCCTAGAATTATAATCGTAGAATCGTTTGATCTGCTTATATTAATCTTTTGCTTCCTTAATGAAATCCAGCAAATGCTATCCATGTTTCCCTACTGGGACCACCACTTGCCTCTATGCTTCTGCCTCTTTGACCATTTTTTTTACTTTACATACCCTTTTGCAAATCTAGGTTGTTAAGTGCTCAATATACCATTGACTCCCCAAGTTTTCCCTTTTATCACACCATATTTGGTATGATAATTCTCTATGCTCTCAGACCAATATAGCAATATAGTCTTCTTGTTCATTTAGTCCTTATCTCAACTTACTTATGTAACTATTCAACATATTATTTTTTGTTTGCACCTAGGTACTTTTTTCTCCAATTCAGCATATTCTTGCTTCAATCGCTCATTCTCATTAATCAGCTCAACGATTGTTATCTCCATGGCGTCTACCTTCACACATAACCTCTTATATTCTTGGTGTTGCTTCACTAAGTCTTTAATAGTTATATCATGTTCTCCAACAATCTTGCAAACTTTGACTTCCTATTTCGTAGTTCTATCTTTCCATTGAATCTTCTCCTCTTAAAGCTTCTAGATCTTTTGCTTTAGCTTATCTTTTCAGTTTCAAACTCTTTTTTTCCAAGCTCCAATTTTGATGGTATTTCTTCAAGCTTTTTCCCTATTGGTTGTTGAAAGTCTTCATGGGTGAATACAACTTCCTTTTATCATCTTACTCTCCAAACCAAGTACTCATGGTGACTTTATCAGTGAAATGTCCAAGACTTACCCTGTGGGGATTTTTTCCATGCTTTAGTCACATCATTCATCTTCTAAAATGCTTTTGGCTCACTATAAGAAAAATTTGACTGACGGAGTTTATGTGTCATGGGAATGAACTATTTTGCTCCGAACTATCTTTTCACTAGAAGTGGTGCGTAACTTGTTGCTCCTATAAACCTAAAAGTGGAACCACGGTCTTGTCTCCACACTGATATAGCATAGGTTCCCAATTCATCAATGGGACCAACCATTTCACCTCAGTGCTTGTCAACTTTTATAAGAAAGCTCTCCACTCTTTTTTAGACTTTTGTTCTAGCCACTCGCTTTCACAGAATTCTTTAATTGGAGCTCAATTGCAGAAATAAAGCTTCGAGAATGCACTTTTCTTACATTCAAAATGACTTTTCATCCATAAACACAATAGCTGTATACAACCTGTGAAACGCCCTTTATTCTGGTGACAATAACTCAATGATCTAATAGTCTTTACCAATATTATCGTTGAAGGGTTGTAGCCATTTACCACACTTTCGAAGAAGTCAACCACTACTATTTCAATGTAGCCTAGAACTTTTGGAAAGATCACCATTCCATATATGGCTAAGGCAAACACTTCTAACCTTTGCTCCTCATTGGCATGTTGCACTAGGAAATCATAAAAAAACTTCCAAGGTAAACAAGCCTGCCTTTACTTTTTCTTTATATGCAAATCAATAGTCTCTTTGTTTATACCGATAATGCTCGCCAAATTTTTATAGAATCTCAACTTATGTTTCTTGACATATGTTTTATCAAGAGCCTGGAGGTGCAAACCCAATAAAATTGAATACTCTTTAATGGTTGGTATCATATCAACTTCATTAAAGATGAAACATTTGTATGAAAGATCTTAGAATTGAACAACAGCTCTAATTAATTGATTTTTAACATTCATCGTAAGAAAGTGTGCTATGTGTCCATGTTTCTAACAAAAATCCTCTTGTCTTGATAGACCTATTTTCTTCCATACATCAACCAAATCTTTTAGATTATTCTGTGTGGGGAGCATAGATATTTCTTTAGACAAGGTAGAAGCATGGTCAACTAGTAGACAATCCCCTTCTTTTTATTGGATTTTTTCTAACTGAAACTTTACTTCATTTGGCGACTCGCATTGAGCTAATACATATGAAGAGCAGACCAATCATTCTATGGAATCCATGAAAAAATTCTTTGTTAAAGACTCTTATTAGGTAAATATTCTTTATGCAACTTCATGATATGAGTATAAATCATGTAAAAATGAATAAGAGAGAAGATTAATACACTGGATAAGGAAAAAAAATAAATAAAAACAGCATACACAATAAAAGGAATGAATCCTAAGCTTTTGGTCAATTCTAAAGGAAACGAGATGGTTCTATCTATAGGTTGGCATTTCTAAGGTTCATTATATGGGGTTTAAAGGTTGAAAATCTAAAGGCTCTCAAATTGCTCCTTACATCATTATCCATCACAGACTAATAAGGCACCCCAATCCTTACCCATTATAAGTTACAAGCGAAAAATATTCAATTTGAGTGGGAATATTTCACTAACTACTATGGAGGCATTAAAACCTCATGAAAGTATAGGTACTTTACTCCATTCTAAAGGGACGGAGCTCAGGTATAGAGTTTATGTTATGCACATGCATATGAATGACATAATAAGCAAAATAAATAAATAGAATAAATGAATAAATAAACAAAAATCTTTACAAAAAAAATTCAATTTATTAGTCTTTTGGGTAACAAAAATTTATTTGCTAGCATGACTCTTAGTTTGTCCCCTACAGAGTTGCCAAACTGTCATAACATTTAAATCTGTAAACCTATCACTAGACATATATTTTAAGAGTTGCCACTAATTTTTTTTATTTAGGTGGCCAATCACACCTAAATAAAAAAAATTTGTATTGACTCCTAAAGTGTATATTTAACTATAGGTCTATGAATCTAGATATTATGACAGTGTGTAAAAATATAAATTAATACTTTTTAATTACATATATTTAAAATATATAATATATATGTTATAATAAGATATCAAATCATAATAAATTAATTATAAATATCTATTGAATTTTAAAATATATATAATAAATAATATTTTTGTTTATGAGTTTAGAAAAAAAAAAAAGGCTAATGGATTATAAGGAAAGTTATCAAAGTAAAAATATTTGTTTGAAAATTTTAAATTTTAAATTTAAAAAAAATATCTCTAGGTAAAATTTTAATCAAATAAGATTAATTTTTTTAAGTTTTCTATTATTACTACAACTTGTTAAGATTTTTTATTTTTAAGAAAAAATTATGGAGAATTAATCATAAATAATTTAGAAAAGATTTTATTTTTAAAAATTTTGATATTTGAAATTAAATAATAAATAATAGATATTATCCATGTATCAAAAAAAAATGTCCATCTAAACGTTCACATAACAAATCTCATCAAATATCTTTATATGTTATAATATATATATATATATATATATATATATATGTGATCCCAAATTACCGCCACTTAGAATCACAAGGGAAAAATTAAGCTCCAATTATGTTCTCAGCGTAAGCTCAAATTTTGCATAGGATTAATGATCAACAAAAATGATTATATACATTGGAAATTAATGTATTATCAGATTTGCGGCTATATCCGATTAATACTTTCGGAAATAACAATAACACCTAGAAAATCTTAACTAAAGACAGATGGTACAATGATTTCATAAATTTTCTACAAGTTAAATGAATCACAAAAATCTGTCGGTAGAAATATCAATGATAAACAACGGAAGCTTTCCTTATTAATTGGGCCAAAAACATAAAACGTCAACCCAAAAGATAGAAGATGGTCAAGCTACCTTTGTTTCTGAAACATCTAATGAAATTAAGACATTCAGAAATTAACTTCTTCACATTCTCAAGCGGTATATTGTTTACCTCATCACGCAAAAAAGAGGAATGCTTTTGTCTACTAGCTAGGTTGTTAGAGAAATACAAAAGATTCTCAGATGTCTATAATATGATTTACCTACTTGAACTTCAACAGAAAGCTACTTCTGGCGTGATATGCCTAGCGTAAAATGTGGAACTCAGTTAGGCAGAAGTTGGTGATGTTGGAAAGACATCATTTGTCAATCCAATCCTTGAACAACAACATCATGTAGAGAGGAACATTCACTGCAGCAATGAGAGTAAGCATTCGGAATGTGCGAACCAATCTCTGTATTATGATCTTTGCATTTGATTTGATTGCTCTAGTTGGTAATCTTCTTGGATCAAGCTCAGCATCTGTATTTGTGTCCACACTCAAACAGACCTCTGTCTCCTGATTAACATTTTTTTTAGCAGTTGGCCTCATCACAGCTTTGCCCCTGTAACAAGGGAAAAAGTACAGAAAAAAATCAGAAATGATAAAATTCTGCAAATAAGGTGACAAAAGGGAGTTGTCAATAAATTCAAGACTGCCAATATGTAACATGAGTGTAACATACAATTAATCAAATACAAGCAAACATATACAAATACTACAGTTTTCAAGTACAAGCCACAATTTTTAATGGAACTGGTAATTATGGAAATGTTTAGCAGAAGCACCTCTCTACAGAGCCTCTATCACTTGTATGTGTGACAGGTTTGATTGAAACTTTTTTAACAAGATGCATTGATCCATCTGCACTCCAAATCATCTCATACTCACAATTCTCGTCTTCATTTTTCTCTTTTGCCCCACCTCTAAAGATGTTGAAACTTACTGACTTTCTAACACATTCCATCATGTCACCAAAGCGATGACAAAAGCTCAAACCACTTGTTGGCCACAAAAGGAGAGCAAGAATGGTCAGAACAAATAATATTAGATACCTGAAATTGAGATTTTCAACAAATGTTATTCAGGCCTATATAAAAGCTCATAAGTGGAAACTACAACCATTATTCCCTACAGTAGAGTTACCATATGTAAATGTGTGTTTGCATTGGAAGAAAGCATAGATGAGTTAGTACAGCTTCTTCTGGCCACGATGTGTCTGGAAATGAAGAATTACAAGCAGATAATAGCATGAAAGATGGATATAGGTTTCCTTGCTGCCAACTTATAGTCCCTAAAGTGTGCTGCATATTATCAGCTAAAAATGTCAAACCATGAATGAAAAATAAATATGCTAAACATCATATCCTCACCTCTGTTACAGGTCCACTCTTCGACTCATGAGTCACTGTACACTGATCATGATCATGACCAGACAAAACAAATAGCTGCCAAAACCAAAAAAATGTCTCAGGGAAGTTGTTGGAAATTGTCTTAAACATCACCAACTTTCTAATACACTACAGACAAAATTCTCTAGGCATATATGCAGAGAATAAATATGTATGTGTATATGCGTGTGCATACATGCATATATATATGTTTGTACAAGCAAGCATTCGTTTATATGTATGCATATCTCTGTGTGAATATGCCCATGTACAATATCACTTCAGAAAGGGGAATAAAACTTACCGGTTTGATTAAGTTCAGCAACTGGTTTGATGATTCCTCACTGACGTAGTTTTGGTACCTGCATTATGATATCAACCGTCAAAAAAGTATAACCCTAAAAAAGCAATAAATTTTTATGACTTAAATTAGATACCTGTTATGGTAAGAAAGGCAAAAGAAGAGGCTTACCTTATTTCCTGATTATGAATATCATGCAGTACCCGCTGAACATGAAAAGTGTAGATTCACATGTAAGTTTAAATGCTGCTTTAGATTCAAAATTGACAACACTTACAGAGGGACTAACAATACCTATGAAGCAGTATAAAACAAAAACAATCAAAAAAATTCTTTCCACAAAAAATGCAGAGAGCGAGAGGGAGGATAACGATAAACCTGATTGATAATTGGAGAGCTACGATGAGGTCCACAATCAGTCCAATCCCGCCGATATAAAGGAATATGAGTCAACAAAACCCTTGGATGTAATTGATGATCTAAAGAAATGCGAAATATGGATAACAATCATTTATAAAGTCAAGTCCAAACGAGACAAAACATAGAAATGCAAGTTAATATCATACACCTGAGGACAAATTGCTAACAAGATCCCAAGATGCTGAAGCAACACTTCCCTGTCGATTTGCTGTGAAGGGTGCAAAAGTTAGAGAGCCTATTTCAAATATAAAGTGACAAATACCAACTTAGAAACTTAAATATCACCACATTTTCTGTGACTCATTTCGAATGCAATATAATAGAAATATATAAATTTCACTTGAGAGATTCATTGACAAATTAGGATTCAATTATATCATACATTGTATCAACTCTAGAACACTCATAGGACAATCTATAACAGACACACTAATGCATAAAATATGCAATACTGCAGCAGAATTACTTCTTGTCCAGAGAATGCACTCTCCTTCAACTGTTTTAACAACTGGGAAGATAAAACAAGTTCCTAGTAGAACTACAGGCAATTGTACACTCAGGTGTTAAAAAGAAACAAAGAAGGGGGAAAGAGAAGAGTTAGGACAAGAAGAACATGAGGATAAAGAAATCCAAGTTTTATGCTATAACATCCCTAGTTTTATGAAGAAAAATGAAAATTACAATAGATATACAAGAGTCAGATGCCTTGTTGTTTACCATCTAGAGTTTGAGCATCAACAGCAACAAACTCCACTTTTCCAACAGTGAATCGGTAGTTTCTACTCCCAAATTCTTTTTCATACCGTCTGACCACCTGCATGGATGCAAAACTGTGAGCTAATCTATTTAAAGAAAAAAGGACCAAAGCATAAGGCTGTAAAGCAACCATATTTGTCAAAGAAGCAACATATAATTTTCAAGAATAACATATACAACAAATTTAACTCAACTCAACCCAAGAAATATCTTAAACCAACAATTTGAAGCAAATTAGATTGATATATTCACACATATTCAGAAAATTCCAAAATGAACAATCTATACTTCATGTCATAACAATTTAACTCTCCAATAACAATATTGATCATCCATTCATTTTCAATCGCTTCCACGCTCCTATTCTCCTTATCATATATCATAACAATATTCAACACTTGTAAATCAAACCTGCCCGCTGGATAAATTTAAGACCAATTATATTTTGACCCTCCATCATAAGCCATTACTTCTTTAACTTGAATGTATATTATCAAAATTACTCTAAAAGTTTAGCATTTTGATCCTCCTTTAGTTTTAATCCTTTTCTTACTTCAATTCTTTCTTTTCCATAACACAGTTTTGCCATGCTTATGAAGCAAATAACAATACTGGAACAATCATGTTTAATTCTAAAAAGTAAATTACATATTTACTATTAAGATGAGTAAATACCTCTGGATTATGAGATTGGAGACTTGCATAACCAATATCATGGTTTCCAGGAAGGTGGTAAACTTTAATAGCGGAATATATTTCTTCTGTGTTTAGTCCAAACATATGCTTAAGACGGCTTAACGATTCCTGCCATCTAATCAACTAAAGAATGTCAAAGACACTCTAGATTAAAGGGTAACTAAAGAGTTTTGAGACAAAACCTGTCCTCATAAGACAATGAAAACAGTGAAGTATAGAGATGAACAGGTGATCTTGATGGTGGTAGTACCAAATAAAAAGGTCATTCAATATACACCAAGTAGCATTGGCATTGATGGAAATATTCAAATTCCCATACCAAAATTAAAAAAAAAAGTTAAAATTAGTGCAAAGCATCCTCCATACAACAACATTAAGTGAAACTTTTTATCTATGACCATTTACAAGATGTTTGATTCATTACTGTGAATTTCATTTCAAAATAAAGATGTAGAAGGGGTACATAATTTCTCTGGAAAAGCTTGACCAACCCAGAAAGTGCATATCTCCATAGCTAATTTAACTTTAAGTTTCAAGCAAAAACAGATGGTTCCAGTCCTTACTCTTCATCGGATAAATAAGGGCCTCCATCAAAATAATCACCCAAAAACAAAATCACATCTGGTTTGAAAGGCAGGATGGATGAAAAAAAGGCTCTTTGCATATACAAATCTGTATAGAATTGTACAATCTCAAAAGCAAGTGATTTAGGTGGCAGGTGAAGGGACGTTTTATCCATGATCTGTTAAACACAACAGATCTGTATTAGAGCGTAACATGGATGAATAACAAGACCAAGAAAAGAAGACAAGCGCACCTGAGGATCGGCGACAACAGCAACTTTCACATAGTCACCAACATATCCTTGTCCATTCATCTGAACTTGCGAAAAGAAAATCAGTTAGTTCCTATGCCAACTATGCCAATCAGCTCACACACATGAGAATAAGTGCAGTAAAGCATGTACATATATGCTGATAAGATTAACAGCATCAATATGTTCCGTGTATATTTTAAGGTGTTATCATCCATAACCAGACCCTGAGAATCATTAAGCCAGCTCACTATAGTTTTATGAAACTCAAACAGGTCACAACACTTGCTGAAACGAGTACCGAGTATCACGATTGAAACAGTTAATCCTTGTCCCGGGACTAACAGTGTAGCACCCAAGAAGCACATTCCTGCTTATCTAAGTAAATAATCAAAACACAAATCAGTTAATCTCTGTTGGTTGTTGCTTTTGCTACTTGCTTTTTCACTTCGAAAAGCAAAAAGTGAGAAGCACATTTCATGCATAGACAAGTAATCTTCTAGAATAATTAAAAGTTAAAAATTAAATTATTATAAATATTGAAATTCATGGTTTTATACTTTCATAAAGTAGAATTATGTTTGAATGTGTGTTACATTTTAAAAATGTACTCAAATGCTGATCAAAATATATGAATCTTCTTTTAATCATTTACGTTTGGGTTTAAGCCATTTTTGTGAAAGGAAAAAACAAACAGCAAAAGCAACAATCTAAGGGAACCTCAAGAATCAAGAGTTAGGATTCAGTTAAGCTCCGTTTGATAAACGCTTTTGCTCTTTGCTATTTATCTTTAGTTTTTTTACTCAAATTTTGCTTTTTCCCTTTCTCCTTTCGTTAAAAAAGATAAAAAGCAAAAATAAAAAACGTTTAGCAAAGAGATCGTTGGTTAATATCAAGATACCAGATAGAATATCCCAATGCTCAAAATTCAAAAAATGGATAAAAAAATACTTAACCAATATTGCTACAGATTGCCTTTCAAAATGAAAGTTGACTAGTTCTCAACTCTTCCAAAAATATATTGCTTTTTATAATTGTGTTCCTTTAATTCAAATTTTGGGTTTTTTTTTTTTTTTCAAAATGGTAGGAATGAGATCAAGTCAAAAAGAATAAAAAAAGAAAAGAGATATGAATGAAGAAAGTACTGAAACGAGATTATAAGAAAATTACCGATGCATTGGAAGTAAAGGATGAGGAAAGGTGAGGCCAAGAGCAAGAGAAGAGAAACGGCATTAAAAATGAGAACATCTCGCTGTAAAGGATGGTTCCTGTCCATATGAAGCATAGTACCAACGCTAACTTCTCGTGTTCCTTCATTTTTCCCTTCTTTTTTGATCGATTGACTTAAACCCTTCGGCGTTGATCCACCACCGAATAAGCCAAGATAAGGTTTTCGATTAGGAGTTGCCGGAGAGCGAGACTCGGCCACGAGAGCCGGCGGAGCAGTCCACTTTGGAAACGTGACTGACACCCTGAGTCTAACAAGATTGCCTTGCCAGACGCAATGTTTACTCAACAAACCAAAAATAAAAAAATAAAAAAAGGGGGGGGGGGGAGGATGAGAGGTTAACACTTAAGAACCAAAAAGAAAAAAAAAAATCCCTTGGGTCGGGTTACAATATTTTTTATTTAAATATGAATTACTTGCATTAAAGTGTATTTATATTTCACCTATAAATTTGGATTTGAGCTTTTAAAAAAAATTATTAATGATTAACAAAATATAAGTATTTTAGTGTGATTGATAACTTAATAAAATTTATTATTTTTAATAAAAAATTTAATGTGTTGATTTATAAATTTAAACATACTCTCAACAAAAATTAAATACATGAAAAAAAAATAAAGAGAATAAACTAAGATATATACTGCATTATTGCCACTCGCCTGAACCCAATTAAAGGAGTTCAAAGCAAATTTGATCGGTTGATTATATCGGGGATTAGATCACGGATTCGAATCGTGGCTCTACCCTTTTTCCATTTTTTATTTTGTATAAATCAAAAACTACGTCGTCGTTTTGGTCAAATCTTAAAAATCCTATCCTAAGAGCTTAGGTATAAAAATTTTTCCTCTCAATTTTCTTCCGTACCTCTCACTCTCTCACACCCTAAAACTGTAACAATTAGTTTTTCTGCCATCTATAGAATTTCGATCGTAGACATCTTTTCGTTACCGATTGCCAGTTCTAATTGCTTCTTTTTAGAAAATTTACCTTTTAATCTAATAATTTTTATAATAGATTTTAATATTAAGAGTTATTATTTTCAAATAATTATTTTTATCTTCACACATTTATTTTATATTTTTTTGATAAATGATTTTCTATTTAATTATATGAAATATGATTAGGATACATTAATATAATTAATATGCAAAAGATCTTAATAATAATATATGATTAATTAATTATAATATATTCACAATCTCAATAGAATTGAGCAAATCTATTTATAAAGATTATAATATATCAATGAAATGATTTACTTTGACATGAAAGTGAGACTTTGATTAGGTATGCTAGTGCATTTGGAATGCATTGAATTGGACAATGGTAAGAATGTATCCTTTAAATACTGTCACTTATAAAATACAATTTTCAATGCTATTAAAATGTAAAAGATCCTTAATCTTGAGAGAATGATAAACTTTAATTTATTATTACAGTTTCTCTAATATACCAATGAGTGTAATTTATTATCAATTAATATCTTGCTATGTTGAAAAGTTATTATTTTAAATTATGAGAACATACATTCTTAGTATGCGATTCTATACTTTTATTGTGAGTGGAGATTATTTTATTATAAAATATGCTAAAATTTAATAGTAATCATGAGAATAAATTAAAATAAAAGAAAATAAGCTTAAAATAAATTAAAAAATATATAATCAAATAATTTTACACTGATATAAATTGATCTTTCTCATATATATATATATATATATATATGGCGCCAACGTAAAAAAGAGATAAAAAAAGTATGGCTGAAGTTTAAAGTATATTTACAAAAATAAAAAAAAATAAAAAAAAAACACGATTTGGTTTTCTTTTCGATAATTAGACTTAAAATTTTTTTTTTTTAATTTTTGGGTTGAATTGATGCACACAAACTAGATAATAAGAGTTAACAAGGAAAAAAGTCTAAGATTTTCGAAGTTATTTTTTCTTATCCTGTTTAAACTTTCATGAACTCTTAATTTAAAGGTAAGTTTTCTAATTATTTATATTAAATAGAATAGCATTTTAAGGTCTTTTAATTTGGTTTATTATATATTAAATCCAATAATTGATATCAAAACCAAAACTTTTTATTTAACATAAATCTACTAAGAAAAATAGGCTTTACCAACAATTATAGCATTCCCAATGGATTTATTATTGAAAAATTTTCATTAGTGTTAGTCAAGTCAATAATGTTATTCCATCGGTAATTATCAACGAAATTTTTATTGGTAAATTCTGTTGATAATTATTGACAAAATTATTATTGAAAGAATTTACCGAAAGAAATTCTATCGGTAATTATCGATGGTAAAATCCATTGGTAGTCTATTAGTATTATGTCAATAATATTTATTTTTCAAGTATATTTATTATATTTTATTTATAATTTTGTCATTTTATTTTAGTTTTTAATTTATTTTAAAATAATTACATGAATACTAAATATAAATAAATAGAAAAAAATAAATAAACAAAATGCTCCATTTTATTTATAAAAGAATGTAAAATATTTTGCATAATTGTTTATGAATTCTATTAAATAAAAATACAATAAGAAAAAAAACATACATGTTACAAACTCCGTACAAATATTTGGTTACAAACAACTCAATTAAACAAGTACTTCCAGTACACGATACTAAAATTCCGTCAAAACATGTGAATGTTGATAGCAATTCTTTCCCTTACCTTAACTTTCACTTAGAAAAAATACAAATACAAATGTGAAAAGGTAGGAGTTTACTTGAGTTATTACTTAAAAAATTTAGGAAAAAAAATTGTATCTAACAAGTTATATTAACACAACCTAATGAAAGATTTGTGCAAGCATATATCTGTCCATAATTATATATATCTTGTCTCATATCTCATATGAGTTTTACAACAAAATGCAAATAAACAAATCCTTAGCACATAAACATGAAGAACAATGTTTGAATAGAGAAAATCAAACAAATTCTAGAACATGAACACAACTATAAAAATTAATGCAAAAAAATTCTATGCTTACATAATCATTCACTAAATAACATGCAACTCAATAATCAAAACATATACTTGTATATGTAAATCTCTTAATCAAATAGTCACCAACTCAAGAATTCATCTCATTTATAGCCTATGAAATCTATACAGCAAAAGGAATAACTTGAACAAGAGAAATCATCTTACAAGATGTCAAAACTATCTATAGCCCCTTTATCAAATTCAAGCATAATATATTGACAACTATTCTATGGGAACATAAATCAAATACAAATTAAACTAACACCAATTACTTAAGCATTCAATGCGAAATTGGATTTGTAACCAAAAGTCCTTACTACTAACGTGAACAATTTTCAAGTTAATCATTACATTCATCAAAATCCTCAATACAAGAAACAACAATATTTTATCATTAGATTAAACAAAGCTTAGAAATTGTCTAAATAGCAAACAAAATTAGAAAAAATAATTCAATAAATAAAATCTATAGACAACTATAGCTAAATAAAGTTAGAAAAATACAAAGTACTTTTAATTTAAGTCTTACTTAATTTTAACACTCTTGAAGTTATATCTTGTGCACATTCTATAACGCTATGTGTTGAGACAATCATAGCTATTCATAGCAAGAAATTTATCATTAGGAATATTACTTCAATGTCAGTTCTTATAAGAGCACTCATAGTATTTGAATCTGCATAAAAGAAGCTTTACTTTCTTTATCCCATTGCCATTTAACATCTAAACCATTATTTAGGGAGAGTTTATGGGTTGCCATGGTACCACAATTCACCACAAGACCATTAACAAAACCATCAAGGAAATAAAGACAAAGTTATATTGGTAATAATATTCCTAGAAACCCAAAATTACCCATACTTTTGTTTGGCTTTTTAATGAAAATTTTGAAAGGAAAAAAAACTTAAAGGGGTGAAGCTTAAAGCTAGGAAAAAGTGAAGGAGTTAGCAAAAGAAATAAAGAAAAGGTTTATGTTATGGGGTTTAAACTATTATTTATTAATGTAACTTTGTTGAAAAGGAAAAGAAGAGGTGGTTATATACAGGATTAATCGAAAATCAAGCAATTTATATGATCATAAAAGAGAGAGAGAAGCAAAAAGAACCCAATAAATGAAACTAAAAGAAAAGAATAAAGAAAAAATAGAAAATTTATAGCCTTCTTTGTATCTCACTATTATGAAAAATCCATATTCAATAAAAAATCATATTCATTATAGAATATACATTCACCCAAAACCCACATTCAAAACACACATTCACGGATAAAGTATGAAAAAAAAAAAAAGTAAAAAATTTTAATTTATTTAAATTAAATTTAATCAATCATTCATATTGAAAGTTTTGAAAAAAAAATAAAAAAAATAAACCTAGCAACTAGTATCACTAACTTAAATCATAACAATGCAATTTATTTTTTCCTACCATTTAACCTTCATAATATTTTTTGATTTAAACCCTAAAATGAAAAAAAAAATCCAAGTACATTAACTCATAATAATATTTAATATTATAAAATTTACCAACCTGTTACAATACAAAAATACTAAATATTTCAATAATTATTAATAAATTTTATAAATATCAAATATAAAATTTTTCAAAACAAATATAAATCCTATTATGCACTAAACCCAAATTTAACATCTATTCAACATAAATTTTTTAATTTCTATGATTATTATTAAAATTTTAAAAATATTTAATATAAAACATTCATCAAAACAAACCCACACCAACTAATCAACATAAATCTTACACATTTAAAAGTTAATAAATCTATATATATATATATATATATAAACCCAACGTCACGACATCTTAGAACTTAAGAGTGGGAGACTCGAAAGCCGAACGAATGGAGAAATTTGAAAAATAGGGGCTAAAAATATTTTCAATAAAACAACAAAACAATGAGTCACCACTAATCTTGCCACCCAAAAATTTTGTCTTTTTAATAAAATATTTTAAAATGGGTTTAAAAGCTTTATAAAAAGAATAAATTTATGGTTTGTAAAATCAAAGTTTAGGTCCGAGTGTTGATTACGAGTAAGGAAGGATTAGTACCCCCATAGTGTCATCAAATATGGTACTAATTAATTACACATTATCTTTAATTTTGGTTAAAATGGTCATATTTTTTGAATGTTTAAAATTATTCCTTTTTTCCCTTCTTTTTTTCTTTTTTTTTTGGTCTTTTTTTTTAGAAACAAAAATAAATCAAAATTTTTTTTTAAAACAAATTTTTAAAAAAAAAAAACTTTTGGATCAAAATGAAAACACCTTAAATATCAAAACAACTTTTTTACTCTCCTATAATAAGGAAAGC